AATCTGGCATTCGCTTCTTCTCGGCTTTCTGACGACCCAAGACGGCCCAAGAGGCCCCAAGATCGCCCCCACAGCGCCCAAGAGGCCTTCAAGATGGCCTCAGGACTGCCCAAGAGGCCCCCCAAGACGGACGGCCCCAAGAGGGCACAAAGACGACACAAGAGGCCTCCAAGACGTCCAAGATGGCCTCTAAGACGGCCCTGCCCCAAAGATCGTCCAAGATGCCTCCAAGATGGCCCCAGAACGGCCCAAGAGGCCCCCAAGACGGCCCCAAGAGGCCCCCAAGACGGCCCAAGAGGCTTTTAAGACGCCCCAGATGGCCTCCAAGACGGCCCTGGAGCATTCCAAGAGGGCACCAAATCGGCTCAGAGAGGCCGCCCAAACGGCTTCCGACGGCGTCGGACGGGCCAGGGGCCCACCAAGACGGCCGAAGATGGCACTAAGATGGCCCAAGACGGCCCAAGAGGCCTCCAAGAGGGCCTCTAGGAAGACCCGAAAAGGCCAAAATCATTGATTTCCCATGAGCTTTGGAAGGATTGTGGCATTTGCTCTTTTTCTGCCTTCCGACGGCCCGGGACGGCCCAAGTGCCCCGAAAGATCGGCCAAGAGGCCCTAGACGGCCCCAAGAGGCCCCCAAGACGGCCCAAGAGGCCTCCAAGACGCTCAAGATGGCCTCCAAAACGGCCCAAGAGCCATCCAAGACGTCCTCCAAGAAGGCCCGAAAGGGTCAAAATGGCCTCCAGGCGGCCAAGATGACCTTCAAGATGCCCACGTGTTCCCCGAAGGCTTTCCAAACCGACTCGGGGAACACATGGTCCGATAGCTTGGCAGGTCTGGCCTCAACGTTCGGCCACATAGGCGCTTCCAAAAAGGCAGGGGGCGGCGGTGATTCGCGTAGGCGTCTTCGATTATGCCAGATTCGCGCACCCGAATGCAAAGTCCCGTGTACATTACTCGGGATTTGCGTTCACAGGACCATAGCGCCTTGTAAATTCCAAAGGATGTGCGCGCCCAGGGCCAGAACCTCTAGTAAATCACGCCAGGTTCGTGCTCCCGAGGCCAGAACCCCTTGCAATACAACGCAAGATTCGCGCTGCCGAATCCTCGTAAGTTGCGCCAGACTCACGCTCCGGGGGCCACGATCCTTCTGCAAATGACGTCACGATTGCCAACCGTCTTCGCAAGAGGTTCTGACACTGCGTGAAGTCGGCGCCCAGACATCCCAACATAGCTCTGGCATGTCCCATTATGATAGAGAGGGGGCCGGCGGCAGAGGGCAACTCCCTGACGAATAATAGAACGGGAAATAGCGATCGACCAGGGAAGCATGGCCAGACTCGAGCACGGCGGCGAACGGCATGCTCGATTTGCGGAGAGGAGCGCGCTAGAGATGGATACAGATTTATGGGGAAGCAGGAACGTAGGTCGGAGGTCTCAAAACGGTACAGTGACAGTCCGTGCGGTGACCTCGAAATCCGCAACCTTTTGGGACCTGGGAGGCTTCAAATGCCCGAGACATCCTCGGCGAACGACCCTAGTCCCAAAATCATGCGGCCACCCCGACTCTCCACTGACTCACCACACGGTATGGTCACCGCACTATTTGGGGGCGCCAGGCAATGGCACCCTGCACTTCTGAGTGAAAAGCTGGGGCGGCGCTGCCCCCGCCCGACAATCCCGAATCGAGCTCTGTCGCGGGCAGACTCCGCGCGCCGAGGGCGCCGCACTCCCCTTGCGCAGCGCGCCGACTGCCGAGATATAGACGACTGTCGGGGGAAGGGGAACACTTGTCACAAAGCGGAAAGCAAGGTCGGGACTGACTTCAGAGGACATGAAAGAGAGCACAGGTCGCTTCCGAGGGTAGCCTGTGCCCCCATGCATGAAGAAGGCGCAAGATGCGATGGGCAGGGCACGAGGGCACCCGTGACTTTGCACCGCCGACAAGCTAGCCAGACTCGACTGTAGTAGGGACCTGCCGAAACCACAATGGCGCGGAGGCGACAGGACGGATGTGAGGAACTGGAAGAGCACAGGACGACAAAGCACATCGGTACAGAAGGGAAGATCAGGGAGAGGATGGGCTGGATGTGGGGCCAAAGGTAACCCAGACGGATGTACGATCAACTCCGCTGGACATCTCCTCCAGCCCTTCAATTTCTGCGGGCACTGACATTCGAACACAATGGCAAAACTTTACTTCAAGGAGGTGGTAGGACGAGACCGTGGCAGCCAACCAAAACACACCATGGGAGGCCGGGCGCAACAATTGAACGCAACGCATGGAAGAAGCGAACGCAACAAGCGACTACCGTGCACCCCCACCCACCCACAACCTCCTCCGCCTTTCTGAACGAACACAAAGAACACAGAGGAGGTGAACGCAACAAGCGACGACCGAGCACCTCCCCCGCTGTTTGTTTCACGGCGTGAGCCCACGGAGCCTTCGACCCCATCCACAGCACCAATATTGCGCCGCGGGTACTTCTGGACAGTCCCAGTTTCGCCGCGGACGCTTTCGGATAGTCCCAGGGCCTCGGGAAACTCCAGAGGCCGACATTGCGCGACAGCGCCCGTCTTGGTTTCTCACCACCACCCTGGGTGCTGCACGGACCCCGCGCCAGGCCTGCACGCCCTTCAGGCCTGTCTCCACGGAAAAGCGCACCTGCGCGCGCAGGGCTAGGTGAGCGCCCGAGGGTCACAGGGAGGGGATGAGGGAGGGAGAGAGAGAGAGAGAGAGAGAGAGAGAGAGAGAAAAAAAAAAAAGAGAGAAAGAGAGAGAGAGAGAGACAGAGAGAAAGAGAGAGAGAGAGAGAGACAGAGAGAGAGAGAGAGACAGTGCGACAGATAGGTGGTGGTGGTGGTGGTGGTGGTGGTGGTGGTGGTGGTGGTGGTGGTGGTGGTGGTGGTGGTGGTGGTGGTGGTGGTGGTAGTGGTGGTGGTGGTGGTGGTGGCGGCTTGGGTAAGCATTGGGTGAAGCCGCGGTCACAGCCTTTTTAGCGGAACCTCCCACTCAAGGATGGCTGGGGGACAACTCACCACCTGTCGCGGGGGTCTACTACCGCAACGGCACGGCGCCACTCGGTCCAAGAGGCACCCAGGGGATAACCCCCCTAGTGCACCCTCCTCACCCCACCTCGTCCGCAGGAAAGCCCAGCGGTACCAGCCCAAAAATACCCGAGGAGCGGGAATCCCCAGAACAGGAGGGCGTTACAGCTGGGACCCCACCCAAGGCGAGGGGGACAAGGGAGTCCTTCCAAGGAGGCCCTGGTGGCCTCCCGTGCCGGGCAGGCACCAGTGCTGTGGAGTGGGGATGGGGGGATGGACAGCGCGAGAGCTTACGCTCACCTCCGCTGGGGCCTCGCCCGTCCTAGCACATCCCAAATGACACCGCAGGACGCAGCTGCGAGGCGATGAGAGAAGGCTGGAGGAAACCCTCCCCGAGTAAGAGTCCCCCGCCACAGCCCCAGCTCGACATCGGGTCGCGACCCTGCCTGCAGGGGGCGGAGAGGAGGAAAAGAGGGAGTGGGGAAGGGAGAGGGATACATAAATCCATACATACATACATACATGCATGCATGCAGGCAGGCAGGCAGGCAGACAGACAGACAGACAGACAACCAGACAGACATATGTGCATGCATACATACACGCCTACCTCCATACATACATACGTGTAGCTAGACATGAATACATGCAAGACACATGCATACATAAACCATACAAGCACAACTACATCATGCATACATATATACATATATACAACCATACATACAGACACACATACATGACTATATACATGCATACATACACACATACATGCACGCAACAACCTAAATATACACAGGCATTCATACCCAACTACAAGCAAAGGCATCCATGCATACATACATACATACATGCAAACCTACATACATGCATCTCCACGTGTATACATACATGCATGCACACACACATCCGTACATATATACATGCATGTATACAGATATTGCATTGTATTGCATTGCATCACATCACACTGCACTGCACTACATAGCACGACCTTACAATCCAGACATGCATACACACAGACATACGGTGCATGCATGCATGCATGTATACATGCGTACATACGTACATACGTACAGACCGACGCACAGACTGGCAGACAGACAGGCAAGCAAACAGCCAGACAGACATACTGATCGGCATACATCCGTGTACACATACATATACATACAACTATGAGTATACAAAGCCTCTACATATGAACATGGTGCACAGCTATATAAACATACACATAGACATACACATATACATGTATCGATGCATCGGCATATACGTCGACGTAAGCGTGCACATATACATTTGCATGGGTGAGTGAGTACTTGAACGTTGATTTACAGTAGGTCAGCAAAGGGGGCCAGAGGAGAGATGTGCTGCAGCTCCACAATAGTTTAGCTCAACGGCACAATGATCCACTGAAGCAACTTCAGAGGTGGCCATCCGTGGGCGACCCATAGTCTCTGCCCGCGCGCGCCTGCCAGCAGGCGTGCGCAGTCTGCCTGGAGCGGCGCCTCGAGACCAGCGCACGCCCGGGGATGGCAGTCGACGGCGCAGAAGCGTCACCATTTGCGGCCGAGCCGACGCCCCCCCTCCCGGGGCTTCCTCCTCCGCTGGCGCAGGACTGCCGGTGGCGGGCGCTCGGCTGGGGGGTCTGCCTGGCGATGGCAGTCGCCTCCGCCCTGATGGCCCAGATGGCCGCGACGGGCCTCCGCCGCCTCGCTGGGTTAACTCTTAGCCTGGTGCTCAGCATGCCGAGCCTGTGATACGGGCCCCGCCAGTGCTGGCTAGTCAAAGTGAACCAGCGCTCGGAGGCGAAGCATATGAGGATGCTGCTGACGCAGCTCCATCATATTACACTGAGCGGCGGCGTGGGCTGGGCTCCTCCTGACGACGTGGGACCTGCTGGAGACGGTGATAAAGGTGCGAGCCCGGTCGGGCCGCCGCCGCCGGGGATCCCGATGATGCCTGGCGTGACGAGCATCGCTTTCCCTGGTGGCACTGCGGTGTCCTTTGGGGCGACCTTCGCCCCGCCCGCAGCGCCGACGGCCCCGCCTGGCGCTTCGCTGCTGGGCGACGTCGGCGCATGGGCGGGCGCGACCAGCGCCGTGGGCGGCGTGCCCCCCACTGGCGGCCCTGCGGCCGCGGTGCCCCAAGGTGGCGGCCCTGCGGCCGCGGTAAGGGAGTACAGCCAGGCTGTGCAAAGCGGCGCTGTGAAGGCGCACGCGCTGGAGATCAAGGACCTGCTGCAGGCGTTCGGGGCAGCGAAGGCTATCGACTTCCAGTGGGGCCAAGGATTCTGGATGAGTACGCGGGCAATCGAGGCCCAGGGCCAGCTGCACGCGGAAGTGAAGAGGCTGATATTCGGGTTCGGCTACGTGGGCGAGCAGACGATGACGGTGCCGCAACAGGAGGAGATGGGGGCGGCGCTCGAGCGGCTGGCGGCCCAGGCCGCCCTCTCCACCGCGGGAGGACCCTGACCAGGCGGCGCGGTGCTGTGCGTGGCCGCGGCCCAGGGCGACACTGAGGAGACAAGGTGGGGATCCTCCCTGCAGGCGGACCTCCAGCGCGCTAGGCCACATATCCATCGAGCGATTCGAGGGGAAGGATCGACGTGGGTGAGGGCCTGGATCGCCCAGCGGTATCAGGGCAGCCGCCCCAGCCCAGTGTGGATCGACTTGTAGACTCTCGCCACTTCGATCGACTTCGGCCTGCGATGCTGCAAGAACGACGTGGAGATCATGCAGGCACTGGCGGGCGACGACATGATGGAGGTCGCACTCCGCCGACTGGCGGCGCGCGTGCACGAGCAGAGGACTGGCGACCGCGTCGGCGCGCAACACATGTTGGGCGTCGCGCCGCCTGGCGGCTCGGCCGACGCGGAGCCTGCGTGGATGGTGGCTTCAGCGACGACTCACTCCGAGATGGAGCACCAGAGGCGCGAGTGAGTTGAGGTCGAGCTGCGGAGCCGCAGGAAGAAGGACAAGGGCGACGGCAAGGGCGACAAGGGCAAGAAGGACAAGGCTGGGTGGGGCGGCGGGGCCCCGTCCGCGACGGCTTAAGATCAGGCCGCGCACACCATCGGGCCTGCGGGCGAGGTGCGGAGCGAAGCAGTGTGGTTTCCTCGGATGCGTGGCGACTCGAACCCGACACTGAAGCAGGTGGTCTCGGCTAGGCCGTGACAGGAGGCGCTGCTGCCGATCGCGCCGGTGGGCAAGCCTCGCCAAGTGGCCAATCGATCCAGCAAGCTGCGTCATCACTACAAGCGGAAGCTCTCCGTCTGGGCTCTCGCAAACGAGTGTGTGTGTGGTATCAACACTACGGGCAGGGGCTCGCGCAAGGACCTCGCCCGATCCCGCCGCATGAGTGACTAATCGGAGAAGATGCGGCATCTGCGCGGCCAGGTGCATCGGGTGCAGCGACTGGCAGAGGCGCGCCGAGAAATTGGCCCGACTGGCGCAACAGCGGTGTTGGGGCTAGCTCGCGTGGAAGAGGTGGGCCATGGCATGCCGACCCGTCCGTCGACCCACAAAGCCCTGAGAGCGGCGTCATGGACGAGCCGAGCGTGGGTGTGTCCAGATGCTCGATGCCATCAGCCCGGAGGAGGCGCATTACTACAGCATCGGGGAGAACGTGGTGGAGCGCGACGATCCCAGGAGTCGGGTGCTGACCGAGGAGCTGCAGAAGCAGTTCTGCTTTGCTGGCGGGACTCAGCTGGAGCACGAGGGGTACTTCGGACGCGACGACCCGCCGCCCCACTTGTGGCCTTCCGGCGGCCTGGAGGAGGCGGAGGCGATCGCGGGCTTCAGAGCGGTAGGCAAAAACTCTGGCGATCGGCAGAAGAAAATCATCAAGATGGTGGCGACGAGAGCAACGCCTTCTCGTTCGTGGAAGTGCCGGGGTGGATGCGGGGCTGGCAGCGCGCGCCGCCTGGCCGCGCACGGGTTGCGTGGGCGCGGCCCTCGGTGGCCCAGCGGGCCTCGCTGGGCCCGGAGGCCTGGGCCCACGCCATGTGGCGACGCCTGGCGACGGGGAGCTCCCACAGCGCGCACATCCTGATGACCGTCAACGGTAGGATATGCTCGATGACCGTTGAGGCGGCCGCTGGTGGATCAGGATCGCGAGCAGCTGCTGAAGTGGCGGGCCTTATTCCAAATGCTCTCCGACGGGGACTGGCGCGAATGGCAGCGGCTACGACGTGGTCGCCAATCGCCTGCCGGCGGCTTCTCCGCGGCGGGATGGCGCGAGGCTGCGCGACGAGCTCGGCTGAGTGGGCGTCGAGCGATCGCGGTGACGCACATGCTCGCGGGCCCGCGGCGGGCCGAGGACGCGCGGCATCACCTGGAGCTAGACGTGCAGGAGCTGGGCCCGAGGCTGCTCATGATCTCTGTGGACTTGGCGGAGGACGCGAGGTGGGGCCTGAGCCGGGTCGACGCGCTCGAGCAGCTGTGGGCCTTGGCGGAGGGAGGTGTGGCGGCCGGGATCTCCAGCGGACCTCCCTGTTCGACCTCGAGCAGGGCGAGGTGCAGGCCACGGGGTCCCCGACCCCTGCGACGACGTGGCATGTGCTCCTGGGGGCCCCCGAGGGAGCGGCTGACGACAGAATTGGCAGCTCGCTCGGCTAGACGAGGGCAATCGCCTGACGCTGAACCAATTGACGCCGCGCAGCGGCGAGGCATGCCGCGGAGACGCCTGGGGACTGGAGCGCCCCGAGGACCCTGGGGAGGCGCCGTGCCCGTCGATATTTGGCGCGGGCATCTCGAGGGGCCCACAGGCGAGGTCAGGAGCCTGGCGAACCTGTTTCGACCAGTGCATGACGGGCGGGGCTTCACAGAAGCCCACGAGGGTCACGGGCTCGGTCACGTGGGCTGAGGCAGGCGCTCGCAGGTGCGACAGTGCCCAATCTCACGAGCTGAGCTACGGCAAGGTCAACGGGGTCTTCCAGACGACCGAGCTGGCCACCTGTCCGCCCGCGCCGCGCAGGTGGATGGCGGAGGCCATCGCGTCGACGCTGGCCCGCGTGGCGAAGACTGGAGAAGGCCCGACGGGCCTTCGGAGATCGAGTGGGCGCTCCCCGAGGATCTTACGTTTTTCGGAGAAGCTGGACAGGGGCGACTTCCTCTTCCTCAGCGAGGCCTCTTCGCGAGAGCGAGGGGCGGTGCTGGGCCCGACCGACGCGGGCATCCACCCGCGCATCGACGACGGCCCGATTTCCGAGGGCGAGGGCTCCGAGGGCTCAGGGGAGGCGAAGGTCAACTAGCTGGCCAAACAAGCGGCGGACGCGTTGGGGGACGCGGGCTTTGTTGCGAAGGGCCAGAAGGGGCGCGGCCCGGTCGACCGCGTCGCGGGCTGCGAGGTCGAGGCCAGCCCAGCCAGGGCGCGAGCGCTGAAGAGGAAAGCAGCGCTGCTGCGGAGCTGATGACGACGAGGGAGCGGGTGCACCTGGGCCACCTGGCGTCCGTCATGGGCGTCTGGATCTGGGCCGCGCTGCTGGCGGGGCACTGGCCGTCGGCGCCGCAGCACCTCTTCCAATTCGCGCGCCAGGCGGGCTGCAGCTGGACGAGGTGGTGGCCTTCCGCGCGGCGGGAGGCGATCGCGATGAAGAGGGCAGCGGGCTTCGGCGCGGTCGCGGCGGAGGCCAACCGGAAGCTGACGGGGAATCTCTGGCGCTCGGGCGCGCGGCCAGGCACGGTAGTCGCAAAGCCGGGTCGCTTGCAGAAGGTGCTGGACGGGGGGGCCGACGTCCTTGGGGCCGGACCTGCCGGCGAGCGCCGTCGCTAGAGGCTGGGTCGAAAGTGAGGCGAAGTGGGCACCTGTGGAGTCGAGCCGCTGGAAGTGGGAGGGCCGCGTCGTGCCGGGCGAGGGCCGCGCGGCACTGCGCGCCCTGGCGCAGCTGTCGGTCGCGCCGTCAGCCCACCGCTCGAAAGCGCTCAGCCTAGAAGACAAAATGGCTTTCGCTGGCGCCGCGGCGAGGGGTCGATCCACAGCTGGGCCAAGTAACTATAGTATGAAGAGGGGGTGCTCGTTCACCTGCGCATCAGAAATAAGAATGCACCCTCCCTGGGTCGAGACGGAGAGGACGCATGCGGACAGCCTCTCGCGCGCGAGAGGACGCGGTTCATATCGGGAGGGGCGCGGCGGCCCGGCGCTGGAAGCAGCGAGCGACAATTTTACTGACCTGCAAGAGAACGCGTTTCACGGGCGATTGCCTTGGGAACATTCGGCGGCGCGTTTCAAACCGGGGGGTGGGTGGGGGGCGGGCCACCACCCCAACACTCGGCGCCGTCGATCAAAACCAGGGGGACTCCCTCCCCCCCAAACCCCCCCTCCCGAACCCCCCCCCCTCGGCGCCGGCGCTGGCGCCGGCGCGGGCCGCCAGCATCGCCCACGGCGGGAACGCAGAGACGATGACCAGAGGGGGTTCAACCCCCCCCTCGCGCCGCGCCGCGCCGGCGCCGGCGCTGGCGGCGGCCAGCAGCGCTGGCGCTGGCGCCGGCGACGGTGGGGGCGCAGCGACGATTACCACCACTACCACCACCGCCACCACTACCACCACCGCCACGGCCTCAACCCACCACCACCACCAACAACAACAGCACCACGCAACCACCACCACCACCGCCACCACCACCACCACAACCACCACCACAACTCACCATCACCACCACTACCACCACCACCACCACCGTCACCACAAAAACTCACCACCACTACCACCACCACGCCGCCACCACCACCGCCACAACCACTACCAGCAGCACAACCCACCGCCACCACCACAAACCACCACACCACCACCATCACCACCACCGCCACCACCACCACCACAACAATCGTCCACAAACCACCGCCACCACCACAACCCACCACAACCACCACAAACCACCACCACACCACCACCACGCCACGACCACCAACACCACAACTTACCATCACCACCACCACAAAACCCACCACCACCACCACCACAATCTACCGCACCACCACCACCACCGCCACAACCACCACCACTACCAGCAGCACAACCCACCGCCACCACGAAACCACCAAACCACCACCACCACCACCAACACCACCAACACCATTAGTCTGAAATGACTCTGGTAGGTCATATTGCATCCAATTCCATGACGAAGGATTACGATATGGGGTGTGGATGAGTAAGATAGGATAAGATCGGTGTAATGATCTTTCCAGCACGTAGCGAATACCAAGTCAGTATCCGGGCAAATAGGGCGCGCGTGCCTTGAGCCAAAGGGGCAGCGACGCGCAGGCTATACTCCCGATTACATAACATCTCCCAAAGAGCTACCCTTAAAGTCGGGAGGGGAGGAGACGGAGAGTAAAGCCGCGCAGTCGCTAGGCTCTGGAAAGGCCGCGCGCGCAACTGTTTGCGCGGAAGATAGCACGCGCAGTCTGGTCAACCACCAGACTGAAGGGCGATATTATTCGCCGGCGAGTTTCCTCGCACAACTTTTCCACGCACGCGCAGGATAGCCCCTCGAATATACAAGGGCTATCGGCCCGGCTAGAGGTAAGCCAAACAGGCTATTCCCCTCGGGGCAAAAGGGCATTAAGGCAAAGAGCCTGAACCAATAGGCTCGCTGCCACGCGTGACAAGTATGGCTCGTTTCCGAGCAGGTTAGAGGGCGCCTCCGTATTAGGCGCCCGTGCTGGCAAACTGGACCGCAGGGGCAACAAGGACAGACTAAAAATGAGTCGACTTAGGCTTGGTTTTGTCCTCGGGGCCCCGAAAGGGAACAAACTGCTTCACGTCATACTTAAATGACTGAGTGCATGACATCACTTCCAGAAGCAGCTCCCGATCGATACTCCCCTTCGTATGCCCGTCTGCGGTCATGTCTCTAGTGTCACACCACTGTACGTTATGCACTATACCTATATCAATGAGCTCACGTATCCAGCTGATATGTCCCAGCAAAGTACG